AAGTCCAGGCTGGATGAGGCTTGGAGCAACCTGGTCTATGGAAGGTGTCCCTGCCCATGGCAGGGGTGTTGGAACTAGATGGGCTTTAAGGTCCCTTCCAACCCAAACCATTCTATGATTCTAAGATGGAAAACATAAGTGTCTTTTGACACACCTTTAACGTTACAAGAAAAACCAGCCAGCACATGCTGACCTTACACGAAGGCAGCTCCTCTGTTCGGTGCAACGGCAGCTCAGTCATCAAGCATCCTCCCACGAGGCAGGCGGTATTTATGAAGTCCGCAGGAATCTGTTGCGCTGAAAACACACTGTCCCCGCACTCCACAGATAAACATTAGCCATAAGAACGGAGCAAACCAGAAAGGAAATTAGCCAGCTTTTCTCTGTTTCCTGCTTGGAAAAGATTCTTTTTCCTTGAACCGCGTGTTATCATGTGAGAAAACGAGCCAGACGACAACAAGCGTGCCCATAGCAAAGGGGGATAATGGCCACAAAAAGCTGACACTAAAATTTTGAGCTCTTTTTCCTGTTTTTTGTCTACGTGTCACCCGTGACTATGGTTTCCCCTGAACATTACTGATGCTGTCGTTTTCTTTGAGCACGCAAATACCAAATGTGGCCAAATCTGATTTGTATGGCAGCTTATCCACACGAAAAAAAAAATACATTTTTCTCTCCGGAATATGCAGGAAAACATCTCCATATGATCAGTGGAAAGTTTTACGGTTTTCACCCCTCATCACTTGGATGGGAGTACAACTTTTATGGGTAGATTGTAAGAATAAAGATAAATTTCACTGTGGTACGCAACTTTTATGGGTAGATTGTAAGAAGATAAATTTCACTGTGGTACACAGAAGAGCCCCCTGAAGTTCTGAGCAGCTTGCCTTAAGCTATATTGTATAAGGCATAGAAGCTCTTCTTACAAAAGGTCATCCACCCTGCTTGTGGCATGGCATGTTTTCTCAGCTCTGGTAGTGCTCAGGCCTTTGAGAGTAGACAAAATTACTGTGTAAATGGGAATGAGGGCTCAGTTTTGGGCTCTGCTCTGTCAGACTCGACTTGTAACAGGCAGAGGTATTTCTACTTTTCAGCATTTAACTACTGCATTTAAGTATTTTAAATATATGTAAAACATACTTGGTATTAAATGTTTAAATATTTAAAAAATCCTTAGATTTCTCGTTAACATTATATTCTATTTTTATAATTATTGAAGATAAATATTTGATGCTTGATATAAATATTTAAATACAAAAAACGTTCATGGAATAGAAACTGCTAGTAAAAAATAGCCCCTCGTGTAAGTAAACCCGAACTGATGAGTCCAGAGAATGCACTACTTTTTCTGCATTTAGTCTGTGCTTTCAATCCAGAACAAAGTGACTGTTTTTAACTGTGACTTTTTTTGAGGCTAAATAGGCTGAAAAAAAGGTTATGATTGGATTTTATCGAAGTACAAAGCATTAGGAATTATTGCAGAGAGGAAATAGAGCCACGGGGACAACATGTTCAGCAGATGGCAAGGCTGTAAATTCCCTGGATAACTTGACACATCTTGTGTGTGGCCAAGCTGACTAAAACCGATATTACTTAATTCCTCCCACCTCAGTCGTGCTTAAAATAAGGGCGGAGATATAATACTCCTATTTGAGGGGAATATTGCAGGCTTAATTTGAAGAAAAGGGAAAGCCCACACCCTGGAGTTACTGGTTC